AAAAAAAAAAAAAAGTTTATACAATACACGTTTAAGTTTGAAATATGCCCCAAGTCTCTTTTTAAAAGGCAGAAAACTGAAACATGTAGCTTAATGTTTCAAGTCAAAATCTAAATTGTCACAATTTATTAATGAATAGCAGTAAAACTCAACCCTCCAACTCAAATGCATGTGTGCAAGGTCCTACAATTTAATCAATCAGTTAGGTTTTAGGAACTCATTCCTTTTTTTTTTAAAGTTGAATTTTTCACATATTTTCTTTGTATTTCTTTATTTAATTTTTTGCTGTTTTTGGCGGGGGCTGGGTTTGAACCTATCACCCTCGGCATATGGGACCAGTGCCCTACCCTTTTGAGCCACAGGCGCCTCCCAGAACTCATTCCTTTTTAATCTAGCCTAGAAGAGAAGTGACACAGAATTTTAAGATTTTACTTTCTACCCGACAACAGTATTAATATAGCTTAATCTGAAAAAAGTCTGGCCACAAGCATGTTGACGAATTTGCCTATGGAATTGGTGAAATCAGACAAAATATTTAAATTTATTTTGAATATATGCCATCAAAAATATTCACTTAATGTGGCCTTATGTGTTTATACCAACAGGCTTTCTTCCCCCAAAATAAAGGCTCAGGAAACATTTTTTGAATGAAAAAAAGAAAACCACTATACCTTCTAAAACAGTGAGCTCACAAAAAATGCAGCAGATTGTCAGGCATACTTAGTGCAATGGGAAAGTAAGTCCACTGAAAAGATTTGAAACACGGCCATAAATCTTATGAAAAATTATAATGAGCCCTTTACTTCATTTACTTTTAGCTACTTCATAAATACTACAGGAGAAACTGGACGGTTTGTGATGAAACATAGAAATATTTCTTTTTCCATAAAGTAAACATGTAAATTTTTCCCTTTGGCTTCTTCTTATAATCCTCCTTCACTGTGAGGAAGAGATATTGAGTTCTTCTAGATTTTTGGCGAGGTGGTTTGTTTCCAAACTGACTGGACTCTCCAGGTAGGTAGTTCCTGCACAGGGTTTTCCTGTCACTGGATCTATGACTCTTCCAACTTTGAAGATGATCTCAGCCAGTTCATGTTTCACATGCTTTGTTCGTGGAACAGGTAAAGCTTTGAGAAGCACAATATCCCCGACTGTGCACTGCTGAAGAGCATCATGAGCAAAGTAGGTTTTCCGCTTATTAAAATACTGTTGAGAGAAGGAGAGGAACAAATCAGTAGTTTGCCCCCATTTTAGAGACGGGGTCTAGCTCTTGCTCAGGCTGGTCTTGAACCTGGGAGCTCAGGCACTCAGAGTGCTGGGATTAGGCACTTGGCCTAAATCAGTAGTTCTGATGAATAAACAAACCATAGCAGTACAGAATATGAAAATTAATGCACTGAAAACAAGCCAGGACTTGGGAAAAGAAATTAAGATACTTGGGCGGCACCTGTGGCTCAGTGAGTAGGGTGCCAGCCCCATATACCGAGGGTGGCAGGTTCAAACCCAGCCCCGGCCAAAATGCAACAAAAGAATAGCTGGGCGGTATGGCAGGCACCTGTAGTCCCAGCTACTTGGGAGGCTGAGGCAAGAGAATCACCTAAGCCCAGAGTTGGAGGTTGCTGTAAGCTGTGACACCACAGCACTCTACGGAGAGGTATAAGTAAAACTCTGTCTCTACAAAAAAAAAAAAGAAAAGAAATTAAGATACTTAAGAAAGCTTCTAATTAAACAAAGTAGCTGCTAAATTTCTGGAAAACAGCCAATTATTTTTCTAGAGCAGATGCTATCCTCAAGCTCTCCAGTCCATTCCCTTCAATACTCTTTCCTTTCATGTACCAATTACCATCTCTCTCTACGCTACTTAAACCAGGGGTTTTCAACCTTTTTTTTTGAGAAAGAGTTTCACTTATTAACCCTTGGTAGAGTGCAGTGGCATCACAGCTCACAGCAACCTCCAAATCCTTGGGTTTAGGCGATTCTCTTGCCTCAGCCTCCTGAGTTAGCTGGAACTACAGGTGCCCACTACAACATCCAGCTTTTTTTTTTGTTACAATCTGGCCAGGGCTGGGTTTGAACCCGCCACCCTTGGTATATGGGGCCGGCGCCTTAACTACTGAGCCACAGGCACCGCCCGGTTTTCAACCTTTTTTAATCTCACAGCACACTTGAACCTATAAACTTCTGCAGCACACTTAAATTATGTTGATCAAAAAGAAGAGTAAAAAAAAAAGAATATAGTACTCTGCTTTGAAATTCTTTTGAAAATAATTTAATTATCTTTAAAAATTTTCATGGCACACCTAAGATCTTCTCATGGCACCAGTTGAAAAATCCCTGACTTAAACCATTCCTTCCCACTGAAGCCTTCTCTCCAGCCTTTAAATCCGTTACTCACAACACTAGATATGTCAGTCACTTAACCACTCTAACTTTAGTTTTTTCCACCATAAAACAAGGCTCTAAATACCTGTACCTCTCAAGTCATCAAGAGATTCAACATTAAGATATACATATACATAAAGCACTTAGCTCTGCCTGGCTCAAAGTACTTACTGCAAATAAGCCACAAATGTTAACAAAAAACTTCTATTCTTTACAACAATCCACTGTGACAGTTATTTCCATTTTACAGATGACAAAAACAGATTCATTGAGGTTAAGTAATATGCACAGCTGGTAAACAACAGAGTCAGTATTCAAAGCAAGGTCTTCTGAGGCCAAAGATCGTGTCATCACTCTTTGGCTTGCTCCGGTAAATTTTTTTTAGAGATGGAGTCTTACTTTATCTCCCTCGGTAGAATGTCGGGGCATCACAGCTCACAGCAACCTCCAACTCCAGGGCTTAGGCGATTCTCTTACTTCAGCCTCCGGAGTAGCTGGGACTATAGGTGCCTGCCACAACGCCTGGCTATTTTTTGTTGCAGTTTTGCCAGGGCTGGGTTCGAAACTGCCACCCTTGGTATACATAGCTGGCACCCTACCCACTGACCCACAGGCACCGCCCACTCCTGTGGTTTTGATGTGAGTTAATGAACAGCATTTTTATTTGCCTCTGTGCCCAACCTTTAAGGCAGGAACCATCCCTGATAGCTGTCCCTCCTCCTCTGCACATTTAATAAATCCATTACTCTGTGCCTTCTTCCTAAAATCTGTTTTCTCCTCCATCTCTGCTGCACCATCTTCAGTTCGGGTCCTCATCATCTCCATCCTGGACTTTGGCAATAGCCTCCTTACCCATTCCTTCACCTCAGTCTTCAATCTCTATCCCTGTTTCCAAGTTCGTCTTTCCTTTGCTTAAAGGATGAAATCCAAAACACACAAGTCTCTTCACAGTCCAGCTCTAATTGTCCTTGTCATTCATCAATAATTGCCTATTAAGTGCCAAGCTCTGGGTTCAACCTTGCCCAGCCACTTGCTGTTCCTGTAGAATGTCATGCCCTATCACTGGATAAATGAACTTCCACAAAGTACTCATCATGGCCGGAATGACTTCCCCCTACTTGGTCCTCTGGATAAAATCTTATTTGAGATTCAGCTTACATGTCTCCTAACCAAGGATGCTCTCCTACAGCAACCTGGGAGGAAAGAATGAGGTGTCCTGTCTACTTTGCATATAGAATGACTACAGCAACCTTATTTTCTTGGAATGTGAGCATGAGCCATGTTATACCAACAGAGCAGCACACTGTCTAGCTTAAAGCAGATGCTCAACACACCTTTAGTGGCAGGGAAATGTTTTTATGCTCAGAACCCAGAACATTTTGGTGATTTACTAAAGCCACCTGAAAAAAGGAGTGCTCCTCACCTTCAATAAATAGGGATCCAGAACAAGCCTGGTCACTCTCACTTTAGCAGTTTTTTGCATTGCTGTCCCAATCACCTTCCCCACGATCCATTTGGCATGGACGGATGAACGAACTATAGACATTATGTGGCTTTGGTCACCTGAAATGCAAAGTTCTCAAAGTTTAGTATTCTGGTGATTATGACTCACCAAATGAATTCTGTCACGAGAACTGACCAAATTCAGAAACAGCTTTTGTTAGCTTCCTGGAATCACCATTTTAGAGATGCTCACAGGTTTCCCAATACCCAATCTCTCATCTTCATAGTGTTTACAAAGCAGTAAATTTAACTTCTGTAAGCCTCAGTTTCCCCCTCTGCAAAATGAGAACAACAGGACCTATTCACAGGAGTGTTTTGAAGATTCAATCCGTAAGGGGCTCAATACCACGAATAAACGCTAGCTATCACTGGCGTCCCTTATTTCTCTCATCCCCACTGGGCTGTCTTTCCCCAAAGGCTCACTGCCCATCTACTCGTGGCACGGAAGCCCTTGGTGGATCTGCCGTAGTGTCCTCCCCAGCGCCGAAGACCTGGACTTAGGGCTGCTTCAAGGATCAGTTTATATTGCGTCTACCCCGGGGGCCGTTTGGGGTGAATGGCCTCCCGCCCAGGGCAACCTTAAGGTCAGGCGACTCGATCTGCTCCGCAGGCTCTCACGCTGGGACGCCTAGGGACCCCAAAACTACCCCCAACAGCAGAAGTACCCAGCCCGCGCTCACCTCTACCGGCTTTGAGCAGCCACGTGACCCGCAGAGCTCCGGCTGGAGCGTGATGGCGTCACGCCGCACGCAGTCAGCTCCGCCCCAGACCGCCCCTCTCCCGGCCTCAGGTCCCTGAGCTGTGGGCGGAGTTAAGGGCAAGACTCTCCCTTAAATCGGACCACGGCTGCGGGGTGGTTGGGAGTTTGTGGGTGTTTTGGCTTTTCCTCCCTCCGCGAGTCTACCGTGGTGCAAGAGGTTTCGGTCTTTCCTTTGGTATTCTTTTCTTTCCGCAATCTCCAAAACATTGGACAGGGCCTTCCAAATCAAAGGAATTTTGATTCATCACACATTGAAACTTCAGGTTCTAAATGTTGATATTGAACAAATTATTTCTATCACCTACAGCTTTTAAGATAAACTTTTGTAGATGTTTATTTTTAGTGTGATTTTAGTTGTTATTTCTCAGTTTCTGTGAGATGAAAGGAAGTGTGCTGTAGGTATCTATAGAATGTGTGCCAGTTATGGGCCACGCAGGCTGTCTGACGATGTGTTCTCAGAGGACAGTTTGCGAATACACAGTATTAGGCTTTAGTTTGGAAATTGCTAAGAGAAACAGCATACAATAAACTACCGGAACAGACAACCCGAGAGCCAAAATACAGGAGTAGGGACTGTGTGGAAACAGTCTTTGACTATGGAAACATCTTAGCAACTGTTGAGAGAAGGCTGGGAAAATAATTCATTCAGGTATTAGTTGATTCAACACTCATTTATTTCTTCACAAAAATTTACTAACTCTTCTTGTCAGAAACAATACTATTTACGGGGTAGGGGTGGGGCAAAGAAATGAATAAAAAGAAACTCTCACTCTCAAAGGCCCACAGTAATACAGACAGATAAGAAAAAAGCAATTTTATAACAGGTGCAGGTAATGGGAACTTTGAGAAAGGAATGCCTAACTTTAGGGAGGGAGAAAACTTGATTAATCAACACCATCCTCCCATTTCCTCCCCCTCTTCATGGCTCCAAAACTCTGGTTGAATAAGATGGTAATTTCATGTAATTCAAATTTGGAAAAGTGTCTGATCTTAGACCAAAGATAGCTAATTTAGCATACTGGCTTGTGGTTGGCTGCTTCTTGCAGCTTTTTGGTGAGGTCTTTCAAAAACAGACAAGCTATGGTTAAAGGTGGCCCATGTGAAAAAGCAGAGTAGGAAGGACACTCAGATTGGCCAAGAGAGGTCCTTTCTGCCTGGGGCCAGCAATCCAAGATGGTTAAATCTGCACTGGTGGTTCAGTGATAGAATCTCCATCTACCAAAGTGGTTAAATCAGATGATCCTGGCTCGGCGGCTGTGGCTCAAGTGGCTAAGGCGCCAGCCACATACACCTAAGGTGGTGGGTTCAAATCCAGCCTGGGCCTGCCAAACAACAATGATGGCTGCACCCCCCCCCCCAATAGCCAGGCCTTGTGGTGGGCACCTGTGGTCCCAGATACTTGGGAGGCTGAGGCAGGAGACTTGCCTGAGCCCAGGAGTTGGAGGTTGCTGTGAGCTATGATGCCATAGGACTCAACCCAGGGGGACACCTTGAGGCTCTGTCTCAAAAAAAAAAAAAAATCAGATGATCCTGTGTCTTAAATTTTAAAAAGCCTAATTCTTTGCCCCCAAGCAAACTTTTGGGAAGTAAAGAGGAGAAGGTTGGAAGCGAAGTAGGAAACATTGGGACCTAGAAGAGCCTCATTCCTATTCCCTCTTGGGTACCTAAATTTATTTTTTATTTAATTAATTAAATAAATTTCAGATTAATATGAGGGTACAGATAAGTAGGTTACATTGTTTGCATTTGTTAGGTAGAGTCCAAGTTGTAGTTGAGCCCCTCACCCAGGAGGTGTGCCATATACCTTACATTGTGCCTGTTAGGTGAGGGGACACCAATACCTTTCTCTCCTTCCCTATGCCCCTTCCCCCACTTGAGTTTAATTGTGTTTTTCTCTTGTGTGGGTGTGTATTTGTTCATCTACTAGTTTCATATTAGTATTGAGTACACTGGATTCTTGCTTTTCCATTTTTTTAAAAACAGACTCTCAATCACCCTAGGATTGAGTGTGTGGTATCATAGTTCACAGTAACCTCAAACTCTTGGGCTCAAGCGATTCTCTAGTCTCAGCTTCCTGAGTAGCTGGGACTACAGGTACCTGCCACAATACCTAGGTTTTCTATCTGTAGAGACAGGGTCTTGGCTTTGCTCAGGCTGGTCTCAAACTCCTGAGTTCAGGCAATCCACCTGCCTTGGCCTCCCAGAGCTCTAGGATTACAAGCGTGACCACCACACCTGGCCTTGCTTTTCCATTCTCTTTTTTTTTTTTTTTAAGAAACAGTGTCTCACTTTGTCACCCTCAGTAGAGCACTGTGGCATCACAGCTCACAGCAACCTCCAGCTCTTGGGCTTAGTTGATTCTCTTGCCTCAGCCTCCTGAGTTGCTGGGACTATAGGTGCCCGCCACAACACTGGCTATTTTTTTGTTGCAGTTGGCTGGGGCTGTGTTTGAACCCACCACCCTTGGTATATGGAGTGGTGCCCTATTCACTGAGCCATAGGCACTGCCCACTTTTCCATTCTTGTGATACTTTACTAAGGAGAATGTTCTCCAACTCTACCCAGGTTAATATAAAAGATGTGAAGTTTCCATCTTTTTTACTGAATAGTGTACATATACCATGGTGTACATATACTACATTTTATTAATCCATTCATGGGTTAATGGTTACTTGGGTTGATTCTACATCTTGGCAATTATGAATTGAGCTGCGATAAACATTCTAGTGCACATGTCGCACTTAAATTTATATTCTCCTTGCCAGAAAAAGATCATAATTAAACAATTCCTTGAGACTTCTGTGGGAAAGGGACAGACTGGCAGTGTGTCCTCTCTCTGGGACTGTGCTTTATATTGCCTCGAGTCAAAGGCCAAGACGAGGCTGAGATAGGAAGTGGAGCAGAGCCCTGAGGCCTGTAGTTACAGGTCATTAACACCCAGTCTGAAGTCTACTTTTTTTTTTTTTTGAGACAGTCTCACTTGGTCACCTTTGGTAGTGTGCCATGGCGTCTTAGCTCACAGCACCTTAAACTCTTGGGGTCAAGTGATCCTCTTGCTTCAGCCTCCTAAGTAGCTGAGACTACAGGCACCTGCCACACTGCCCAGCTTTTTTTTTTTTTGCAGCTGTCGTTGTTTGGCAGGCCGGGGCTGG